AGTCAGTGCTGACTCACAGCAGCACCTATGGGTTTCTGAGACTAACTCTGTATGGGAGTAGCAAGCCCAGTTTTTCTTCTGCAGATCTATCTGCTGGTTGTTTCAAACTGCTGAGCAAGTGGATTGCAGCCCACCACCTAACCACTGTACCACCAGGGCAAAGACCCTAATTCCCAATAAAGTCACATTCTAAAGTTCTGAATTGACATGATTTTTTTAAATGAGTTTGTTTATTTTTACAGTTTTGCAGACATATAATTCACGCATCATACATTTCAGTTGTTTAATCATATTCATCAGAGGTGTGCAACCATCACCACAACCAATTCCAGGGCATTTCTTCTTCCTTGTGCTTGTTGTTAGGCTCCCCATTTCTTGCCAGCTTGCCCTGCCACAATGGCTGTGAATTTTTGAGGTACACTGTTCACCCTGATACTTTATGCACCTTCCTAAAGCAATAGTGGAATGAGGGAGGCACTAGGAGGCAAGAGATGGTTGTAAAAAGTCCATATTAAGTAATGAAGAGTCCATGTACATAGTTGATTTCTAACTCTGTCCAGTCTGTTTCCTCAGTCCTCTGATTGTTTCTCAGGGGTGTGTTAAGATAGAGTGATTAGTTTTCAAAGGAACTTTGACAATTTCAGATAAAATGTCATAGAAAATAATAATAATAATAATTTATAAATGATCAAGGATTCATGAGGGAAAGAGGGTGGGGGAGGGGGGGGAGGGAAATGAGGAGCCGATTATAAGGACTCAAGTAGAAACAAAATGTTCTGAAAGCGATGATGGCAACAAATGTAAAAATGTGCTTGACACAATGGATGTATGTGATAAGCGGTATGAGCCCCCAATAAAATGATTTAAAAAAATAAAATGTAATAGAACATCACTTTTTTTTTGCCTTTAAGTGAGCTGAAAATGTTCTTATTGATTAAAAGATAGCTGTCCTATTTGCATAAGGTGTTTGCCAATTTTGTCACTTCTACCTCTACCCTGTTGTTTAAAATAGAATAAGTTTTCAAATGAGAAATTTAAATTGTGCCCCATTCATCCTTGTTCTCCGCCCACCCTACCTCCAGGACCTTTAACACCAGCAGCTCTCAAACAGGAGGTGGAACCGAACAGTTATGTTCCAAAGTGTGTCCGAAAATGGTACCCTTTGTGCTTCTTGGGAATGAGTAATCTTGCTTGAAAAAACGACGTCACCTGCCTGGGAAGTTTGCTTAGTGTAGAGAAAGCATGCTGAATCGTAGGTAGTGGGTGATGCCTGACAATTCTGAAACCATTATTTTGGATATCTAAAACGGAGATATCCCCAAATCTCTTCAGCTGAAATAGTTCACATAAGCACACAGAAGAACATGTTTCTTTGTGTGCCATTATCATCCCTCGCTTAGAGAGTCAGGCTTGCTGTTTTGTATGCTCAGAGACACAGAAGGAGGAATTTTCTAGCTGCAATTTTTATAGACTTCAGTGTTCTTGAAAGGAAGGTACTTCAAGGCCATTTCCATTTGTTATAGCCTATGCTTTCTCTCATCTCATGCAAATTATTTTTCCACTTTTCATTTTAATTCTTTGCTGTCATTGTCTGGCAAAATGATCGTTTGGTTTCTTTCTGTGACAGTGCCCTTTGTCTACAAAAGGGTAGTGTCCCCAGGGTTTATGTGCATTACTTTTCTTATTGCTACTTGTAGATTTCTGCTTAGGTCTTATTTCTTACTCTTGGCTTAAAAAATGTGTAGACATGGTGTGTTTTAACTTCCAAGTTCCATTTCAGAAACGGTTCCCTTTTAAGGTCTTAGGCAGAGCCAAGTTTACAATAATTTATGCACCTTGTAACAGTCAAAACATCTGTTTATCGGAAACCGTCTAAAGGTTAAAATATTTGAAGGTGAATAGTAAGTAGTGTGTGCTATTCCTGGAGCTTGTCGTGGGTGGATTTTATTACCATCCTCGATGTCCTCTCCATCTCCTCCCCCATCTCCGTGTTTCAGTTTACCTGAATCCCTCAGCTGTTGTCACAACCTCCAAACTCCCTTTAGCCCTACTCCTGCCGCAAATGGAGAAGTGGGCCTTTATTGGGAATAGAATTCTCTGCCTCTGCCGGGAAAGAAGGAAAGAAGAGCTGTGATTCTGAGATTAGAAGTTGAGAAGCTAAAAATTAAGCACACTCCTATTAAATAATCTCCACTTTGCTAACAGAATGCACAGCATCTGCAGAAGTGAGCGTGGTGAGCGTGAGGACTGAGGACTTGAGAGTGGAAGGAAGAAGGTGGCGTATAAAGGAGGAGCATGAAAGCAATTGGTTAGATAGGAGGGAAAGAATTCCCAGCAGAAATGAGTACCCCGTGAAGGCTGGAGATCATGCATTATTAAAGAAACCAATTGGCCCTGTTTTATGACTTTGTCCAGGAACACTCAGTGCTCCTGAGGTATTTCTGCTGGACAGGAGATTGGCTGGACTGGTGTGGTGGGAGGGCAGAAAGGTGAAATAACCCATGCTTCATCTTCTAAAGAGAGTATTGTGAATTTGCCTTGCTGTGGAGTTCAGGCTATGAAAGAGAGCTCAGACCAGAAAACTAGTGATAGGTAAACCGATAGATTAAAAAATACTTTTTTTTTTTTTAATATGGTAGAGTGGAGAAGGAGTTGGAGATTTATTTTAAGGTGGAGAACAAATTCTTTTGAAGAGGAGCAGGAAGTAAGTAGAAAGTTGGGAGATTTCAGGATTTAAGATTATGGAGGTGGAGTTGAGCCTTAGATCTGTTATCTCTCCCCATGACCGATGAGAGTCTCCCTCTCCTAGCTGGAAAACCTCTCGGGTGCACATTCCCTTCAGGTGCCCTATAAAACAGACCGCAGTCCTCACATTTGGCTCATCCTCGTTTCTTCTGAGCCCTCACCCCAGAACTCTTATGTACTCTCCGAATCTTCAAGAAGCTCCCCACATTTTCACCTTTGCACATGTTGTTCCTGCTAGGTGAAATGCTCCTCCTGTTCTTTTCTGCCTTGCCATGCCCTTCACACCTCCAAGACCTACTCAGCTATCACTTTCTCTTGAAGGCTTCCCAAGCTCCTGCAGATAACACTGAACACAGCGCATCTTGTTCTGCGCTCTCATGACAATCTGTTCATATGTGGATTGCATTTTACCACAAGCATATATATATGTAAATAATTTCCAGTTGATTGTAAACTCCTGAAGTCAGGAGCTGTATTTCTCTTCTTTATCCACAGTGCCAAATGTGTAATATTAGATTATTGATATCTGTATTTATTATTGGGTTTAAATGAATTGAACTAATTTGGTACATCTTAGAATTTAATATACATTTAAGTCATCTGGTGCTCATAGTAAAATTCAGGCTCTGATTCAGTAGGTGTGAGATGGCTTTGAGATTCTGTACTTCTTTAGGCTCCTCCCAGGTGCTGGCGGTGCCGCTAGTTTATGGAGCTGGTCCAAAGTGCCTTTGGCCTAGTAAGTAGAAGCAGAGTTCAGACAAGGTTATTAGAAATAGGCAAGTTATCAGGACACTGACACAGAAAATGTTGCTGCACCCAAAGTGATCAATGAATTAAAAAGTGTAGAGACCTCATCATGGAATAAAGCAGGAGACCATCTGGAGGGGTGGGTGGCAAGACTAGGATAATAAAAGATTATCCCAGAGCTGTGGGGAGGAGGGGTGATGTGGGTCACGAGAAGGGTCGGGGCCTCCAGTGTTTAGTCACAGTAAGAAGGCACTTCCACCTGTTGAGGCGAGAGTGATGGAGGGGCTAGAAAAGACTGGAGCACAGGGCCTGGAAAAGCCCTGAGGAGATGGAATAGAATTTGACAAGTGATTTTCTCCTGAGCTTCAGTATCCAGCTGCAAAGGATAAAACTCTTTTTTTTTTTTTAACTCAAAGATAACACAACTCTTGTGACTGCAGTTAGCCCCATGTACCAAAAATAAATGTCATACCACTGACGCCTTTTAATGAAGAGCATCAGTGTCTAGATCAGTGTTGTCCAATACAATAGCCACTAGTCACATGTAACTATTTAAATTTGAATTCATTAACATTAAAAATTTAGTTCTTAGCCAAATGTTAGTAGTGGCTACCCTGTTAGACAGTGCGAAATAGACCACTTCTGTCATCACAGGAAATTCTGTGGGGCAATGTAGTCTAGACACACCACTATTCCATCCTAAAAATGAACATAGTCTTCAGTGGGTTGATGTCTTTTTTTTAAATCATTTTATTAGGGGCTCATACAACTCTTATCACAATCCATACATACATCAATTGTGTAAAGCACATCTGTACATTTATTGCCCTCATCATTCTCAAAACATTTGCTCTCCACTTAAGCCCCTGGCATCAGCTCCTCATTTTTTACCCTCCTTCCCCGTTCCCCCCTTCCTTATGAGCCCTTGATACTTTATACATTACTGTTTGGTCATATCTTCTACTGTCCGATGTCTTCCTTCACCCACTTTTCTATTGTCTGTCCCCCAGGGAGGAGATTATATGTAGATCCTTGTAATCTGTTCCCCACCCTCCCTCCAACCTCCTGGTATCACCACTCTCATCACTGGTCCTGAAGGGATTGTCTGCCCTAGATTCCCTGTGTTTCCATTTCTTATCTGTACCGGTGTACATCCTCTGGTCTAGCCAGATTTGTAAGGTAGAATTGGGATCATGATAGTGGGGGGGGAAGGAAGGATTTGGGACCTAGAGGAAAGTTGTATGTTTCATCGTTGCTACACTGCACCCTGACAGGGTCGTCTCCTCCCCATGACCTTTCTGTAAGGGGCTACAGTTGTCTACAGATGAGCTTTGGGTTTCCAGCCCACACTCCCCCTCGTTCACAATGATACGATTTTTTGTTCTGACGATGCCTGATACCTGATCCCTTCAACACCTCGTGATCGCACAGGCGGGTTGATGTCTTAATGATAATACATAACAAGAAATAAAATTAAAACCTCGTATCTTTATTGGTTGCCTCTGCAGTTACTTCAATGAAAATCAGTACCCAGATGAAGCAAAGAGAGAAGAAATTGCAAATGCTTGCAATGCCGTCATACAGAAGCCAGGTAATCCCGAGCACGGCTGTGTCTGTGGTGCCGCCCTCAGCCACTCATCAGCAGGGAGGACACAGCGTCCCCCTTACACTCCCGCCTCACTGCTCTCTGCCCACTCTGCCAGCCTTCTGCAGGCAGTTACCGCCCAACTCTGTTCCCACCGCGCTTCTCAAGATTCGGAATCAAATGCTCGCCTTAGGGAGGGAGCCTGCGTAGGATTCTTGTCTAAGTGTTCGTACATTTATTTTTCAGAAATTTCACATGATGATATCAAATCCACAATAATAGTAAGGTTTAAAATATTTACGCAAGATTGATCTAGTTTGTTTGCATTTGTTATAAATTAATACAATTCGGTATTGCTGTTTGGGGGAAGAATTGTTTTGGTATTTAGCTTCTGGGTCTTTCCTATGTTTCTGTGCAATTCAACAGAGCCACTGAATTCATACATAGTTACTTGTGTGTTTCCCCCTCCCCACCCGTTCCCCATCCCGTGCTACAATATGCCACATTTTACAGTTTTAATTACCAGAAACCATCCTCAGTTAAGTGGATATGATTGATCTCCATTTATCTGGTAATTTTTATGGGCAAACAGTAAGTATCTCCTTTAGTGATAAGCCAGACTTTTAGCAATCTAGACCCTACAAACTCAAGCTTCAACTGCACATAAGCGAGAACATCTGTACCCTTATTTCAGTCCTCAAGTCAGGCCCTGGCAAACCTTTGTTTTGGTTTCCCAGCCCTGTGGGTAAAAAGCTGAAAAACAAAAAAGGGCAGGATGAAGTATAAATGGGCAGCATAGTGCGGTCAGTGGGATGAGACGTCCGAGAACAAAGAAGATCATCAGTTTGACCTTCAGACTGAGTTCTGCCCTCCAGCATCATTATGAGGGTTGATGGGTGATTGTAGTGACCTATAGTCTTCCAGAAAACGCCTGTGATACTCATCACAGAGGCAACACAGGAACATTTCGTATAAAGCCTGAAAATGAAGGGAGCTTCAGTTATCTGGAAACTTGATAGCGAATATCATATTCAACTAGAACTGACATGGTGGATTACCAGATTCAGCTAGAACTGGCTTGGTGAATTTCCTTCATGTGTATGACTTGAATTAATGTGTTAATAATTGAAGTTGTACATTATACTAGGTAACACTAAAAAGAATCAGCTGTACAATGGTTTTAGCAATAAGTGCCAACCAAAGCATCTTTTAAAAAGAGCGAAGTAGTAAGTCTTTGAGACTGTTCATTCTTGGGTCCCAGATATAAATGATCTGAATTGTGTTCTACGCATTCACAGGTAAAAAGCTTTCGGACCTGGAGCGCGTTACCTCCCTGAAAGTCTATAACTGGTTTGCTAATAGACGGAAGGAGATCAAGAGGAGAGCCAATATCGGTACTGTATCCGAGGGCTGCTTTCTCTTGCAAACGCTTTGTTTGTTTGAAGGAACTGTAGGGCTAGATTTTCCTAGAATCTATACCTAAGAAGGTTGTCCTTGTGTTTTCCCTCATTGTATTTCCCTTTTTGTATTCCTTCTTTGTAATTCACTAAAATTAGTATTATTTATTCTCTTGTGTTATAACGATTCTCTTGTGTTATAACGATGTTAAAATAATAATGTTAGCCATACCTGGCAGATGATTTCTGTGGTACCCATTAAAGGTGTGTATATGGTTAAAAGAGGGAACTGATCAATAGGACATATCTGATTGTTAAAATTGAATGACAGATAGATAGGAACACAACAAGAGTCAGGAGATAAACAGCATTTGAGGAATTACAAGTTGTAATTGAAGCAATTTAGCTGAAGGATTGTTTTTGAACTTCTTGAATTACATTTTACTTATAAACATACTTCCTTTTCTTTTGGGGGGGGATTTTTTTAATCGTTTCATTAGGGGCTCATACAACTCATCACAATACATACATACATACATCAGTTGTGTAAGGCACATTTGTACATTCATTGCCCTCATCATTCTCAAAACATTTGCTCTCCACTTAAGCCCCTGGCATCAGGTCCTCTTTTTTCCCCTCCTTCCCCGCTCCCTCATGAACCCTTGATAATTTGTACATTATTATTTTATCATATCTTGCCCTGCCTGACGTCTCCCTTCACCCACTTTTCTGTTGTCTGTCCCCCAGGGAGGAGGTCACATGTAGAGCCTTGTAATCAGTTCCCCATTTTCAACCCACTGTCCCTCTACGCTCCCAGTATCGCCACTCACACCACTGGTCCTGAAGGGATCATCCGCCCTGGATTCCCTGTGTTTCCAGTTCCTATCTGTACCAGTGTACATCCTCTGGTCTAGCCAGACTTGCAAGGTAGAATTGGGATCATGATATTGGGGGTCGGAGGAAGCATTTAGGAACTAGAGGAAAGTTGTATTTTTCATCGTTGCTACATCGCACCCTCTGGCTCGTCTCTTCCTCGAGACCCCTCTGCAAGGGGATCTCCAGTGGCCTACAAATGGGCTTTGGGTCTCCACTCCGCACACCCCCTCATTCGCTATGATAAGATTTTTTGTTCTGATGATGCCTGATACCTGATCCCTTAGACACCTTGTGATCACACAGGCTGGTGTGCTTCTTTCATATGGGCTTTGTTGCTTCTGAGTTAGATGACTCCTTGTTTACCTTTAAGCCTTTAAGACCCCAGACGCTATATCTTTTGATAGCCGGGAACCATCAGCTTTCTTTGCCACATTTACTTACGCACCCATTTGTCTTCAGTGATCATATCATGGAGTTGATCACACAATGATATGATTTTTTTGTTCTTTGATGCCTGATAACTGATCCCTTTGGCAGCTCGTGATCACATAGGCTGGTGTGCTTCTTCCATGTGGTCTTTGTTGCTTCTGAGCTAGAAGGCCGCTTGTTTACCTTCAAGCCTTTAAGACCCCAGACGCTATATCTTTTGGTAGCCGGGCACCATCAACTTTCTTCACCACATTTTCTTTCTTTTTTTTTTTTTCACTTTTCCTAATTTTAATAGGCAGTATCCCCTTGTTCTGTTTAAATGACTGCCACTTGGTCAATGTACAGGTTCCCCATGAGCACAATGAGATGTCCTGGAATTCCCACTCTTTGAAATGTTATCCATAGTTATGATCCACACATCAAATGCCTTTTAATAATCAATAAAACATAATTAAAGATCTTTGTGGTGTTTTCTACTTTCAAGCAAGATCCATCTGACATTAGCAATGATATCCACCCTTCAATGTCCTCTTTTAAATCTGGCTTGGATATAGTTCATTGTTTGTTTTTTTTCTAATCATTTTATTAGGGGCTCATACAACTCTTATCACAATCCATACATACATCAATTGTGTAAAGCGCATTTGTACATTCATTGCCTTCATCATTCTCAAAACATTTCCTCTCCACTTAAGCTCCTGGCATTATTCACCGGCTTTGTCTTCAGCGGTTGTGTCAGGAAGGTGAGCATCATAGAATGCCAATTTAGTAGAAGAAAGTATTCTTGCATTGAGGGAGTACTTGAGTGGAGGCCCAATGTCCTTCTGCTCCCTTAATACTAAACCTATAAATATAGGCACATAGATCTATTTCCCCATCCTCATATATAAATATATTTGCATATGTACATATCTTTATCTAGACCTATATATGCCTTTTGCCTCCCAGCTCTTTCCTCTATTTCCTTTGACTTTCCTCCTGTCCCACTATTATGCTTAGTCCCCACTAGAGTTTCAGCAATTCCTCTTTGTTACCTTACCCTTGATCATGCCCGACCAGGCCTCCCACACCCACCTCACCACCAATTTGGATCACTTGTTGTTCCCTTGTACCTGGGTTTGTTAACACCACTTCCTTTCCCCCCACCTCCCCCTCTCCCATGTCCCCCCGGAACTGTGGGTCCCTTTGTTTTCTCCTCCAGATTGTTCATCCAGCCTATCTTATTTAGACAAACCTGTAGAGATAATAACATGCACAAAAACAAGACAGAGCAAAACCAAGCAACAACATACAGCAAAATAACAAGAACAACAAACCAATGACAAAAAAAACAAAACACAGCACAAGAAAGAAAAGCTTGTAGTTAGTTCAAGGATCGTTTGTTGGTCTTCAGGAGTGTGTTCCAGTCTGTTGGGGCACCACGCCCTGGCTCCAAAGTTCACCTTCAACATTCCCTGGGGACCTCGCCGCTCCATTCTCTTGCTGTTCTGTTTTACCCCCTTAGTGTTTTGCCTCGGTGTGGCAGGATCAGATTGGGTGCATTTCCCACACTGTGTCTCCATTGTTGTCCCCTATAGGGCTATGGGTCAATGAGGGGCATCATGTCTCTTAGTGGGGCTGGTCAACATACTTCTTTTTCATCGTAACAACTTTCGAATGCTTTATAGCTCTCCCTTACCCCGCTCCAAGACTGGAAAGCTAGTTAGTTTGTTAAGTAGTGTTTGTCAAGCACCTAACAGTGAGTGTCTTAAGCTTTAAATGCATAGCAACAGGGGCTCCAGATGGCAGATGGATCCTGACCTGTCTGTGCAGTTGGATGTTATCCACGTTAGGTCTCCCTTGTGGTGTAGTGGTTACACGTTAGGCTGCTAACCTTAAGATCAGCTGTTTGAAACAATCAGCGTCTTTGTGTGAGAAAGACAGGGTTTTCTATTCCCATAAAGATTTAGACGCTGAACCCCACAGGGGCAGTTGTGCCCTGCCCTACAGGGTCGCCATGTGCCAAAATCAACTGTATGGTAGTGAGTTTGGTTTGATTTCTGGTTAAGTTGTAAAGAAATAAGAAGTAGAGGAATCTAAGTTCTTGTTTAATTAACTCTGATTTCCTCAGTACAAAAATTAATTCAGTACTTCCATCATTATAATAATGTAACAGATAATTTAGGGATCTCTATGCTTTTTTCGAAGAAGCAGCAATCCTAGAGAGTCATGGGATAGATGTACAGAGTCCAGGAGGCCATTCCAACAGTGATGACGTCGATGGGAATGACTACTCAGAGCAGGTGAGCAGCTGAAGAGAGGTTCTCGGTTACAGAGTGGATGGGACAGTGTGACAACTCAGGTCTGTGGGTGTGCTTAGTCTGGGATGGGGGAGGGAAGACAGTCGAATGTCCCTCCACTCTGTTCATGTGTCTAGTTAGATTGTCATGTCATTTGAAAGGAATGTGGTAAGATTCAGTTGTCCTGTTGAATTTGTGAGAAATCGCTGCTCACCCTCATGGATTTATTGTCATACAACAGGATACTTGGCAAGTACGCAATGGGGAGGAGGAGGAGGGAAGAAGTTCAGAGGGAGGCAGAGAAGCAGAGAAGGTAGAAGAAGAGAGGAGGATCTGATCCAAACAAGCAAGTTACACCATTCACCACACACACACTCAATGTTTGAGAAATACTAGGGGCAACTGGGTAGCTGTAATCCATGCCTAAACATGTGCCAATACAAGACCCAATGGCAAGTCCCACCCACCACGGCCCCATTGCATCAGGAACCCTCGTGCTGAGATGAGTGGTTCTTTCAGAATCTCCCTGGCACGTTGACACAAACCCTCCCATCTGTCGAGCGCCTGCATGTCTTCCCACGTCACCTCATTGCTTGGAAGACACGTATTTAATTGTAGCCACTGGATGGAATCATTCCATAGCTGAGAATGTGGAGTCCTTCCCACCCCCAAACCTCCCACACCTCTAGGACCAGGTTTTATTAGGATGTTTACAGGGCTTAAAGTCCACTTCCATTTGGAACATAAAGAGCCCCTGTGGCGTCGTCCTCTAGGTCACCTCACCCGACAGACTGTTGCTCTTTCCCTCTGCCAGTCACAAATGTCATCCACTATGTTCCACCCTATAGTTCCCCGTATTCTGCAGCCTCTGTTTGCCAGCTTAAGACTGCTGCATTTCTGTGCAGAGCCACTGTAGATTCTCAAGACTACTCTGTGAAAGTAGAATGAAGCAATGATGCCCATGCGTCCCAGGAGTTAACTTTCCCCTCTTAGGGTGCCCTAGCCCAGCTCAAGAGCATGCCCTGTCTGTCTGGCTAATTGGAGACATTCCCGTGACTTTCAGTCACCTCCGTAGATGGCGCCTTCCCTTCTGTTTTACAGATGCCCGAAGAGTAGCACATCCCCAGCTTTTTTCCCTCAGGGGCTTACCCTCTCAAGATCCTTAATACAGAGTTCCCCTGAAGATGTGACAGGTGAGAAACTCACCCCTTTTGTGTTACACCATCTTCAGTCTGTGACATACAGCCCGAAATGCCAGTTTCCTTTCACAGTTTTATTTGTTAACACTCTGAGCTCATACCTGGAAGGAGAGCTTCACACTCCCTGCTAAATAAAATCCTGCCACTTTGAGTACACAGCTGCCCTGCAGCAGGTGAGTGCCACACAGCTTCCACACCCATTTCAGGGGGTTACGCTTGGGTCCTGTCGTTGTTGAAAACGTTTTCTTCCCCCAAATGCATTTTTATCCATAAAACAATGAACATTTGCACTTCAAGACGGTGGTCTGTGGGGTTCTGCTTCGTTTGATTTTTTCGTAGAGAGATACCGGAATGCTAACTGTCAGATGGAAAGAAGTTAATAGCTCGCCTGTCTGGCCTTCAAGAATTACTTCTTTCTGTATTTGTTCCAAACAAAATGATCCAAACTGTTGGCTTTATTTCAGCCACTCCAGGTTCGATCTTCATCACCAGCAATCTTGCTGATAGAAAGAATCAAATTTCCAGTAAGAAAAGAACATATCCGTGCTTTGTATTAGCTGGATCATAAAAATGCCAACTCTGGGTCCCTGGTCCTCTCTCCATTCAGTGTCTACTTAAATACAAGTCACCTCCACCCTCTCACAAGACACCTCCACTACTACATTTCGTTCCATGAATGGTATGCCTCCTTGCGTCCCCTCGTCCCAGCATGTCTTCTTTGAGTTAGTGAATGGTACTATCCATTAATAACGCTTTGTTTCTTATTTCTGCGCCTTTAGGATGACAGCACTAGCCATAGTGACCACCAAGACCCCATCTCATTAGCTGTGGAAATGGCGGCGGTCAACCACACTATCTTGGCATTGGCCCGACAAGGGGCCAACGAAATCAAGACAGAGGCCCTGGATGACGACTGATCAGGGAGGGTTAAACACAAGATGTTAACTTAGTTTTAGATGTAGCACCTTAGCAGACTTTCCTCGGTCCTTAACATGTGTTCTTACAGTATAACTTTGCAGTTTCTTGTATGTCAGTTAGCCATTAGGGTCTTGTTCTGTGAAGATGGCATGGTGCCCTCAGCCTCTGCATATACTCTCAGTATTAATTCCCAGTAAATAACCACCAACCAACCACACTTCTCTCCCAGCCCCCGAGGCTAGAAAATCTTGCTGCTCTGTCTTAGCATTCCAAGAAAGTGCTTCCAGGTATTTAGATAGCCCTTCGTTCTCAAATATTAGGCGACATGTAAAGTCTCAGAGACCTTTAGATTCATGTAACACTAGTCTTTAACTCCCTTTCCCCTCCCCAAGACTAATACGGCTGCAAGCTGAGATCGTGTGGCACAGGATTGACAGGCACCACTGGGGAGCACTCACAAAATCAAAGGGAACACTAGAACCCCCACCTCAGCAAGCGTCCCGGATTTCCAGCTGCAATAAGCCGTGCCTCATTATAGTCACACTGTGGCTAGATTATCCTCCTTTGGGTGCTGTGCTAAGAATGTCAATAGAACAACTTGGTCTCAGATTTTGGTTGGTGTTAACATGCCTGACACAGACATCCTTTCCTCTCACAAGCTGTGTGACTTAGTCTATAAAATACTGCCTTCTGCCTTGGGGACCATGATTTTTTTAAAAAGTCATTGAAAAAGAACCTAGCTTGAGAGCATTGGAGAAAAACCTGAGCTGCAGATCTAATGGAAGCCGACGGCCAGTTCTCAGAACCACTGTCCATGATGCTGGCACGGTCTCCAGTGCCTGCCTGGAAAGTCCCGATGTCTCAGCACAGAAGGTTCTTTGCCTCCTGTCTATGTCCCTTTTCCCTGCTACCAAAAAAAAAAAGTCAAGGTCAGATATGATGGAATGAACTTGTAGTCTGTCCACCGAACTGAAGTCACCTCGCTGTGAGAGGTTGGGTGGGTCCGTGCTGACTGTCAACAAATGCAAATTCTCACCTAAACAGGAGTGAACAAGATGGGGATTTGCCACCTCCTGTGGCCACACTAGACGACCCCCCCCCATCCCGGGAGGGGGCTGCTTTGGTGGTCTCTTTATTCTGTCCTTATAGAGGTGATAAGCTAGATTGCTACAGGTAATTTATGTAATAATTGGAAGCCATATTGATAATGGATGTGGTAATATTTGTAAAGTTTTGATCTACTTTAAACGGCAGTAACTAATGGGATTTTTTTCCTTGATCACATATGTAGCACTTTCGTTACTTTTTAAAGATATTTATATTTGATAAATCCTTTTTTTCATTTGAGAACTCAAAATACCAAACAGTGAACTTCTGTTATAGAGTCACCCTGTGATCACCTTGTCATCTAGTAGCAAAATGATGAACTATTCATGCATCAAAGAAAATTACATCCACCGGCCGTGTATGAGAATGGTGTCTTGGCATCCCGATTAAATGACACGCTGTCACTGCGGGGACGGGGACGGGGACGGGGACGAGGACGCAGTGCTTGGCGCAGCAGCATGGAGACACAGTGCTGTGTGTTCTCTGCCTCCGTCCAGCCTCTCTGCTGCGAAGGGAGCCTTGCTCACTGGGGTGGTCATGGGGGAGGGGGGAGAGGGCTGCCTGAACTGACAGACACCTGCCGCCCTCTTGTCTGTCTTGGGGGAAAACAGATTCTAAGGTAGAAGGAAAGTGCTACTTCCTCACCTCTTCACCCCAGCCCAACTCACCCCCAAGTGTATTCAACTTAAAACCACTGAGGCAGACCTCTGACCTTCCTCCATGCCCCTTTCTGTTAGTGGCCTGTTGCATTATCCACCCACTTAGGCGCACCCTGACTTGAACATCTCTTTTTTCTGTCTGGCTGGTGAGAGAGGGAGGAGAGCTCTGGCAGAGGGCTTGATTGGAAGTGCCACCTGGCATGTGTCTGACTTGGGGAGCCCTGGCCTGCACTCGCCCATGGGCTTCAGGGGAAGGCGTGGAGTTTTTCCCACTTTCCAAGATTGAAGTAAAGGGGGCCTTCCTTTCTGTCGCACTGCGTGGCCTGAATTAACCCATTCACGAGTAGCATTTGTTAATCTCAGGAATGATCCCTCACTCTTGTTCTTTCTTGCTTTGTGTGGCTTTAATTTCAATTAGGAAGTTGTATTCTCTCTCTATTTTACTTGTAAGGAATGTAGTGTATTACATCTTCTAATTTTGATGGAATTGTGTCTGCTTATTCGTGGTTGAATCAGAAAGAAATGGAGAGAGAGGAAAAAACACACTCGCTGACAAGCCACATCCATGATCTATTGTAAGGAGATTGTTATAATGGATAGCTTCTTTATGATAGGATCGCTGCAGTCATTTGTTCTTGCTGGTCTTTTTAAAGGAACAGACTCAAATGGTTAAAACAGCCGCCGTTTCTAAGAAATCCGACAACCGCCACAGAAGAGCTCAGAGGTTGCATGATCTTCAGACCTCTCGAGGAGGGGAGCTTTGGGAATAGAGGAGAGTTCGTGTCCGTGAAGGCTTCCTGCCGGGATGGACAGAGTCTGTAGGAACAGGCCGAGGGAAGGTTTCACCCACAATTCTCGGGAGAGAAGACTGCTGGCCAAGCCTGCTCTGAAGACCCACACTGCCTTACTTACAACTTTTGCTTTTTAACCACGATTCAGCGTTTACTTCTTTTGGAGCCAGACAGAAATCTCCTGCTGGTTTCTGTCTGTCCTCAGGTTTGGTGTCACTCCTTGTCCAGGCCATTCCCTTCCCATCGTGGCACATGGAGGGCCACTGCTTTGTGCGGGATGTCCTGGGATGGTGACTTTTGTTTAATTTGTATTAGCTTTGGGCGGTGGGGATCTCTTTTCATCTTTATTTTGTAAGATTGTTCAGATTTGAGGCCTATTGAATTGACAATGACTCTGTACGTGAAAGAAAAACAGCCCGACTCGTAAAGTTTCCCTGCTGTGCCCTTGGGCGGCTCTGCCCACCTCTCCCCTCGTCTTCCCTCCGCCTGGCCCTAGAGGCTCCCTCTCGGGGCTGCCCCTTCCTGTTGGAGCAGGGCAGCGCACAGTGCCCACTTACTTATATAGCTTACCCCCTTTGATTTGCTTTGTTCTCTCGGACTGGTCTCAGACTTTCATTGAATTACTTTCGTTGACTTGGTCATGTGGGCAAAATTCCTACCTTTTTTACAACACAACTTTACAGAAGGACCTTTTAAAGATGGCCTAGCCCAGCACAGTGTCTGCCCGCCTGTCGATGACCCCGGGGAGAACAGTGCAGCGCGCTCCCACCTGAGACCGTATGTGGCCATTCTGGACTGGGCAGACGTCTTGGTTTGTTCCAGCAAAGCCTGGACTGATGGCGTGCCCTGAAGGCAGTTTCCTTTTCCACACCCCACCTGCCCGCGCCTCTGAACCAGGCCCCACATGGTACTCTGGTGGGACAGCCCCTTCATACATTCCCACAACCCTCCACAGGGAGAAGGGGCCGAGGGCAAAGAGGCACAGAGCCCCTCGGAGGCTCCCTGTGCCCAGGCTTGGTGGGGAGCCAGGTGGAGAGGGAGGGAGAAGCCACTGCTCATCCGTCGTTCACCAACTTCTGCTGTGGGTCTGACAGTCAGGTGCACTGCTACCTCACAGGGAAGAAACAAGAAACCCTCAACGAAAACCGTTTCCATTCTCCCCGCTGGGCGTTGTCTTGCGGAGACATTGCTTTTTAAAGCATTTCCCTAGAATTCCAGCCATCACACAGTATTAAGCAGACTGTCATTTTATCAGGAATCTCCAGTCACGTTCTCTCAGCCTGTGAATGACCCTGGTCCCTGCTCGTCAGTGCACCTGTGCCCGTGCCAGGTCCTGTGATTGAGCTGACCGGGGACCCTGGACCCCGCAGCGGGCAGAGTAGGGGCAGGGGCCCACCTCTCACACCCACGCTCCTCCTGCCCGCCCTTTTCTACCACGTACAGCATATCTCTTCTTAGCAGCTTAAATTGCCCCCCCCTTTTTTTTTTTCCATAAGTGAGCCCCTTTTCTGTGTCCTAAAAATGTGAACTGTAGCCCTCACTCTCTGTGGTCTTAAGAAGGGTTCGGTTAGAAGCAGTCTTCCCACTTAACTCATGGCTCGGCCTTCTAAAATTGCTTGTTGTCGGTTGTCCAGAGAACAACCAGAATAATCCCCCACCCCACCCCTACCCCGTTGAGTCTCAGCTGATTCTTAGGCAATAATTTTCCCTGTTGTGGATGATTTTGTCCTCAGTAACACCGTCCATTGTGTAGTCCTGCCTCGACATTGTGTGTTGTCTGTGTGGGTGTGAGCTTTCCACCTGTGTCAGTGGAGAGCGTTGTGGGGTCACCGCTCGTGCGTTACTGTTGTCGTCATCGGGCTGCATGGAGATATTGGCTGCACAGACCTCTTTATAGCTTTACTGAGCCGGATTTATTTGTCTAGACTTCCTAAGTGAAAGTTGGGTGCTGGCTTTTGGGGAGGGGGTGGGAGGGAGATGCTCTGGGGAGAGGGTGGGGCTTACACACATAAAGCATTCCTTTTCTGTGTTCTCTTTAAATGGCAAGGACCTTTACTCAGGTTTTGGGATCAGTTGGCAGCCATATTGAATTTGGGAAACTGAGCTGCATGTCAACACCTGCCACACCCTCCCGCCCCCCGCCCCACGCCCCATCCCCCACAGCTTGGTTCTTACTTTCTGTATATTCTGATTTATGTTACCAAGTGATGCCTACATTAGTGCCAGTGTAAAGGTAGGGATGGTGGGAGGTGCCCCAGGAGACACCGGGAAGGGCCGGGCTTTGCTAAGGCGGTTAGCCTCCCAGGAGATGGGGTGACCTGGTGGGGGTGCAGGCATGTGAGCGTTCCTGTAAAGTCTCCTTCACTGCATTCTCTTTCAAGAGACCACTCTCACTTAGGAGGGAAGATTTCCTGGCCGCTCTCAAGAGAATTGCAGTGCCGAGGTGGTAGGAATGGCTTTTTAAAATGCATCAAGCCAACACGCCAGTCTTCTGATTACAGAACCCTCTCTGCCACAGAAAGGCTGTTCTGAATTCCCTTTATCTGTTAGCCGCAAGTGCTACCTGCTGCACTGGCTGCATTAGAGGCCCGGTATTGACGCGACTCTCGTTTCTCTAAGTGCGACTTTGTCCCCCGCTTACTTTCAGGCAGAAGGCTGTGTGCAGGCGTTGCTCTTCCCTGGTGGCGATGAGAAGTCGCAGCCGCAGAAAAAGAACGATCTGAGAAGTCCGGTTTCTTATAAGATTGGGGGGTTTATGTTTGTTTGCGTCTCTCTACTCTATTAATAGGAGAGGAGAGAGGGGAGCACCCAGGTACCCTGTGCTGGCTTCTCACCACCACCCAAGGGCCTCGCAGCCACTGTAGGTCTGTGGGGCTCCCAAATGCTTAGAGCCCTGACCTGCATTTTTCTCATTGTCATATGACCCTTGGGGCCAGGAATGGAGCAGAACTAAATATAGTTGATTTTATTCAAGTGAAATCTAACTAGTATTTTTTCACACCACTTGACAGTTTAGCATGCACATCTCACACCCATTATCTCATTAGCCAGCTCCCTCACAAACAACCGACAGCCACAGCCAGGATCGGCCCTCCCTGCCAGCACTGCCGGTGGCGTGTGGCTGCCCAGAGGCGGTGCATGGGTGCGCCGAGATCCGGAGAGTGAAAGGACTGGGCGTGAGGGCTCCCTGGACTCCAGCGAGAGTGGCTTTGCACAGCCATCGTCAACCCTGGGCTGCACACTGCTGCGCGGCGATCAAATGAAGGTTTGGTTGGATCTTTTCAAACTGTAACCATGGTGATTGAAGGGGGTGGCAGAGAATGAATATATAAGAATCTAATGCCAATTGTTCTGAGTGACTGAGTGTCCTTCTGACATGTAATTAGCTGTTTGAGCAAGACGTGGGCCAGCATGGCCATAATTACCAGGCTTTCTGTCCTTTCCTTTCCTAGCACATTTGCTCCCAGGGACATTGGGAGCAGCGGCCAGCGAAGGGAAATAATGACAGGGTGCTTATGTTCTCAAGTGGAGACAAAGCTTTGGATGGATTTCAACTTCAAACTGGAAGCCTGGGCTGCTTGCTTCCCAAGAAGCTGCCTCGCACACCCACTCATGCCGCCCACCTTGGGGCAGCAGCCGCAGTCAGGTGGAGGGCGTCCCACTCAAAGGCACCGTACTAGTGCACGCCCTAGAATGTTCCCATGTTCCTTCTGATGCATCCATGGCCGTCAGATTCAGAAAGTGCTTATGCAACAGCAGCCTGCACATGGATTAAATAGGGTTCTCCTCATTGAACCCTGTGCACTAAGACACGCAACGCAACAGGAACACAACAATCCGCATGCACACACCGCCTTTAAAGAGCCATGTGCTCCCACGGGACACTGGCGCTTGCCGTGCCCTGTAGTGCCTGGAACAAAAGGACCCATGAGTTTCTCTAGCTTTCCTCAGGTCACTGCTGTGTGCAGCCTCCGACTCTCCCCTGCCAGGGCCACGTCTGCTTATCTGTGTGTTCCCTACTGTGCCCAGCACTTCCAGACTGCTCCCAACCACCCATCCCTGCAGGACCCCAGACTACTAGCCAGCCCTTCACCAGGATTCCTAGGTGGTTCCCCACCCCCTGCAGCCTTTCGTCAGTTGTATGCCCGGGCGCAGGCCTGCAGCACCCCAGCACCCAGCATACTGTGCCCGAGGCCTCTGCGAGCACTGGTGCCCAGGACGCACAGCTGGGCGGCCCAGGAGGCCTCTCCTGGGGCTGGACCTTCCAGGGTTGGTTAGGTACCCATTGAAGAAAATAGAGCTTGTGTGCTTTTTCTTTTTAGAAAATCTTTTGCTTATTCCCCTCATGCAAACCTTTACCCTCCACTCTGGAGGAAATCCTGACCTAGCAAGTCTCAGCTTAAAAGGCCAGCGTCACAAGAGCCTGAGGGGCCAGCTAGTTTAAGTTGCCTTCTCTGCCCCACCTGTAAACACACCCAACTCTAGTTAAGGAGCGGATCTTAATGCTATGGTGGTGGTTTATTTTTCTGTTGTTTTTACCTCCCCAAACACAATAGCAAGCAAATGTCAAGCATTTGTGACTGGCCAGGAAGAAACTCCTGCAACAGGTTTTTGCTTAGGATGTCTCTCCCCCTAAGACCTGAAAGCCGTTCTGTGCCCAGCCCCTTCACACCTGCATTGGGACACCTGACCCCAG